TCTAAATTCTATTCTTCCTTCTCTCCTTCTCTTGCCTCTTCCCCTGAGACAGTAAGCAATCCGATTATACACGTGCAGTCATGTAAAACATTTCCATATTAGTCATTTTGTACAAGAAGACTCAAATAAAAAAGAAGAAAAGAAAGTGAAAAGTAGCTTGCTTCAGTCTGTATTCAGACATTATCAGTTCTTTCTCTGGAGGTGTATAGTATACATCATCATTAGTCCTTTGGAATTGTTTTGTATCATTGTATTGCTGAGAATAGCTAAGTCATTCACAGTTCTTCATCATACAAGCTATTAACTACGTACAACGTTCTCTTGGTCCTGCTCATTTCACTTTGCATCAGTTCATGTAAGTCTTTCCAGGTTTTTCTGAAATCATCCTGCTTGTCATTTGTTATAGCACAATAATATTCCATCACAATCATACATCACAGGTTATTTAGCCATTCCCCAATTGATGGGCATCCCCTCAGTTTCCAATTCTTAGCCACAAAAATAGCTGCTATAAATATTTTTGTACAAATAGGTCTTCCCCCACCTTTTTTTTTAATATCTTTGGGATGTAGACCTAGCAGTGGTATTGCTGGATCAAAGGGTATGCACATTTTTATAGATAGCCCCTTTGGCGTAGTTGCAGAATGGTTAGATTGGTTCATAACTCCACTAATGATATGTTAGTGTTCCAGTTTTCCCACATCCCTTTCAATATTTATCATTTTCCTTTTCTATCATATTAGCCAATCTGATAGATATGAGGTAGTACCTCAGAGTTGTTTTAATTTGCATTTCTTTAATCAATAGAGATTTTGAGCACTTTTCATATGACTATAGATAGTTTTTATTTCTTTGTTTGAAAACTACCTGTTCTGTCCTTTGACCATTTATCAATTGGGAAATGACTTGTATTTTTATAAATTTGATGTAGTTCTCTATATATTTGAGAAATGAGACTTTTATTAGAAATACTTATTGCGAAGATTTTTTTTTTTTTTTTTGATGAGGCAATGTGGGTAAGTGACTTGTCCGTGGTCACACAGCTAGTGAGTGTTATGTGTCTGAGGTCGGATTTGAACTCAGGTCTTTCCTGACTCCAAGGCCAGAGCTCTATCCACTGTGCCACCTAGCTGCCCCAGATTTTTTTTTTTTTTAAGGTAATTGGGGTTAAGTGACTTGCCTAGGGTCACACAGCTAGTAAGTGTCAAGTGTTTGGTCTGAGGCCGGATTTGAACTCAGGTCCTCCTGACCTCAGGGCCGGTGCTCTATCCACTGCATCACCTAGCTGCCCCTGCAAAGATTTTTTTTCCCAGTTTTCTGCTTTCCTTTTACTTTTGATTGTATTGGTTTTGTTTGTGCAAAAGCTTTTTAATTTTATATAACCAAAATTATCTACTTTACATTTTGTAATGCTCTCTGTATTTTCTTTGGTCATAAATTCTTTCCTTATTCATAGATCTGACAAGTAAACTATCCCATGCTCTCCTAATTTGCTTATGGTATTACCTTTTATGTGTAAATCATGTACCCATTTTGACCTTATTTTGGTATATAGTGTGATATATTGATTTATATCTAGTTTCTGCCATACTGTTTTCCAGTTTTCATCTCCCTGTGTTTAAATGTAAGCAGTTTATCCTTGTTTAGTTTATTATTTTTAATTCACGTTTACCTTATGTTTCTCTTCACTCTTGTGTTTGATCTTCATAATTTCTCCATAGCTTTGGTCTTTTCATGAGGAATATTTGCAAGTCCTTTATTTCATCATTTTGTTGAAGGTTCATATTTTTCCTACTCTGTCACATTATCTTTGGTTTTCCTGAGTAAGTTATTCTAGGCTGTAAGGCTTTGCTTTCTGGAATATATTCCAAATTCTCCATTCCTTTGTAATGGGAGTTGCTAAATCATGTATGATCCTGACTAGCTGCTTGGTACTTGAAATCTTTCTGGCTGCTTGTAGTATTTTTTCTTTTACTTGGAAACTGTGGATTTTGGCTGTAATGTTCCTGGGAGTTTTGGAGTTTCTTTAGGAAGTAACTGGTGAATTCTTTTGATCTCCAGTTTGTCCTCTGGTTCTAAGAGATCAGGGCAATTTTCTTTTTAAGATTTCTTGAAAAAGGAGGTCTAGGCTCTCTTTTTTTGGTTGTGGCATTTAAATAGTTGAGTGACTTTAACATTTTTTTATCCTCAGTCTGTTTTTCAGGTCACTTATTTTTGCTTTGAGAAACCTTACATTTTCTTCCATATTTTGACTTGTATATTAGGATGAATTAATAATTAATGTAATGAGATGTTACTTGGAAATGTCATCTCTGACCAGTTGTAGAATACTGACTTTCATTTTTACTGTCTTTCTGTTTCCAGGCCCAGTGTTGTCAACTATGTTACCTAGCCGCCTAAAAATCCTTTTCTATTGTCTTACCTTATTTATAGTGACCAAATTGGACATTTTGCACCCTGCCTCCCTGTTACAAATACCAGGTTTTACTCTAAGAGTCTTGTATTAAGTACAGTTAAATAAGAATTGCTCAGTGTCATTTTTTTTCCCACTGGTTTGCTGTTTTCATGCAATATTTTTGTCACTGGTAATAATCAAGAGAGCACCGTCATCTTTGCCTGTTAAAATCTTCCATGAGGCTTAGGTCAGGTGCTAGTTGCTCCATGAAGCTTTCCCTGATTTCTCCTAAGTGTTGTCTTAAATTTTCTTACAGCGCTTTGTTTAGATCACTCCTTTGCCCAAACTGCATCCTAATTTTGTTACGTGCCTTATCTCTCTTTATTAGTAGATTGTAAACCTCTTGAGATGAGGGATGTGGTTTTCAGCTTCCTTTTGTATCTTAGGGCGTAGCACAGTGCTTTTCATTTAGTAGGCACCTTAACCTTTTGTTCAGTTGATTTGAACCTAAATGTATGCTATATGTATATAACTAATTTTAAATTTAAATTTAAATTTCTCTATAGAGATGGTTGTTTAGGTGAAATGAGGAATAATAACAGCCTCTTGTGTGAAAGTGCCGGCAATATGAGAAATAGAGGAGGCAGCTCAGTGTAATAGAGCATTGGCCTTGAAGCATCACCCATGGCACTTTGCCCTGTTGAATCTCAGGTTTCTCATATGTATAAACTGAGGCTTATTTGTGCCTCTTCTGTAAAAGTTATATCTGTGTCTGGATGGTCAAAGAAGTTATGATCCTAATATATATACTCTTGTAAGTGCCTTTTCTGATTAGGGAAAATGAGTGGTAAACATTATGTGAGCTCTTTATAATTATTTTTGTTCTTCTGTCAAGTAGAAACTGTACTTCTACTTCTTCCCATTTCAGACATCTTAAAAACCTCAAAACAAACTCACTTCATCCTCTAAATCACTCATGAAAATATCACAAGAAAATTCAGCAGCCAGGATAAAGAGAGGATATAGGTGGGGGCATGAGACACAAGGAATATGTATATACATTTCCTTCCATCCCCTATGAAATTTTGACTAATTCTTTTTACTTGCTCATTCCAAAGAGAAGCTATTTTATAAAATCTAGACTCAATGGATTCAGATTGTAGTTTCATCAGATATGATAATTTGTAGATAAATTGTTACTGCACAACACAGTTTCCATGGAATTTGTTATCAAAGAATTTTTTTCTGCAGTGCTTAAGTAAACTTTAGTCCAGTTCCTGCCAGAATTATTCTAGATTTTCAATAGGAGTTCAGATTAATTAGGCAAACATATTGGTGTTACAAGAGAGGAGGGAAAAAGTTCAGTTGTTTTATTGAAACAACTATTTTCATGTTTAAAGAAGCAGCTGGACTTCAAAGATAGCAAGTTAACTTCTCCTTACTGATTTTTTAAAAAAATACTAGTTATTCTTTCATTCCGTCCTTCAGAAGAAGATAATGAAAATTTTCCCAAATAACTTTGATGAAACTTTTAAAACTAAATTTAATGTAAATAAAATGTTGAATTGCACAATTGCATACATTTCAACAAAACAATGTTTCTCGTACTTAGAAACTTTACTTTTGTCATGACTAAAGAAATTAAGATAAACCATAGTCTTTTAACTTTTCCCTACTCATCTGCTATTTTAAGAAAGTTATAGAAGGTAGCAATATATATATTTTTTAAAGTTTGCCAAGACAGCTTTTGGTAAAACTTCCAAACCTAAAGGAATCAAATCATCAGCAAGCACTTACTAATGCTATTTTGTGCTTGGCATTTGTGCTAGGGACTGGGGAGACCAAAGAAGTAGAAGACATTTTCTCTCCCTTCAAGGAGTTTATAAACTTATTTTTATAAAATATCCCAATACTGTGATAAGATTTTTAGCATAAGTTTTCATTCAGAAGTTTTTTAAAGAGCATTCTTAATAAAGGATTACATGAAATGGCTATATTTAGACTGGATCAAATATTGTGAAGTTAATATTTTTGTTCTCAGATACTGACCTTCTGATACTAAGTGTTCAAGTGAATGCTCTTAAATCCATTATTATTAGTTTCTTACTTAAGTCTTAATATATTTCTTTTCATAAAACAAAAGTCATAATTTTCTTATTAGATTGAATATATAGCACAAAACTAGAAGAATTGTCCATATCTTTGTCATTAGCAGGGCTGTTCCTAATAAATCGAGGACAAATGGTTCAGGATTTTCAGGGAAGTAGGTTGTGCACAGCCTCCCTTGGAAACCCATTCCAGTTACTCTTTTAAGTTGTCTTTTACCTAAATCCTTTCTGCTGGTTCCCATTGTTCTGCTCTTAGTAGAAGCAGAACATTTCAAACAGTTAAAGAAATAAAAATACCCTTTCCCGCTTTAAAGTAAAATATTCTGTTTAATACAATCTAGTGATATTAATCCAAGATAATTTTGGATAAATTTGCTATATGGTCTCCCAACCCCACAAACCTCCCCCCTCCTCCCCCAGCAAACCTGGATTAGATACTCCAGTTTTGCCATTTATTGAAATATTAATGTATTTAGAGCAGAAATGTCGTTTTTTAGGGAATCTAGAACAACAGCAAAGCTGAGGTCAAACTGCCATACAGGATGGACACCAAGGAAGCTGTGTTGGGAACAAAAAGAAATCAAAATAAGGTAGATGAAAAGTAGAGACCAAGCACTGGCCTGTGGGGACATGGGAAGAAGGGAACGGGGAGGAGGGAGGAGTGTGGTTAGTAGAAATTCAGTTAGTAGAAAATAAAAGTTAAGAGATTTCTTAAGAAGAAAACCTAGAAGCATAATACCAAGTGGTGGTAAGTTGGGTTTCAGTGGTGCCTTCTTTCAGAATTTAGAGAAATCACATTTACAACTTTCCTTTGACTGATTTGTAGCAAACTCCCCTTAGCAGATTTACTTATATTAAGTAAAAAGTGCATTGGTGGAGGAGTTGGACATTTCTGGGTTATGATTTCGTGTGTAAATTGTATAAAATTCACTAGTGAAACATGTTTCAGTAGTGACTAGATAGAAACAACACTCACCAATTCATAATCATACTTAAGTAGTGTCCTTTCTCGTTTGGGAGAGAGGCTGTTGTAAGAACTCTCAAATTTTAATTACTTAATGGACATACTCAATACAACAGATGTTATTCTATCTTCCCTTCCACTTCTTTTTCTATCCATGATAGAATATTATGTTTTTGTTCATAGCAACATGAACCGTGAAGACCGGAATGTGCTTCGTATGAAAGAAAGGGAAAGGCGAAATCAGGAAATTCATCAGGGTGAAGAAGCCTTCCCACCTAACTCTCCTCTCTTTGCTGAACCATACAAAGTTGTGAGTTTACCTAATTTTAAACTTGCATCAAAATAAAATGTTATGGTTCTGTATTATTATGGTTATTTTTTTTTACTTAAAAATTTGGTTCATGTTGTACATTCTAGTCTGTTACTAACTGACTGTGTGACCTTGAACAAATCCCTTAAATCCTAGAACTTACATGTAAAATGTTTTAGTTGGGCTAGAACAGTGATCCTTAATGGCCTTTATCGCTCTGAAACTTCCAGCTTCTGTGTTTCTAGTAACCTTAAGATGCAGTTTTATTTTAATTTGCAACTGCCTTTTATTGCTATATTTTTTAATTGCTCACAATAAATGTGTTTTTGTACCAGGCTAATTTTGGTCAAAACAATAAAACAGTTGCATGGAAGCCAGTGTTTCCATTGATGTCTATAGTATATTGCTTATTGAAACTCAAGTTTCAGTCATTACACCTGAAGGTTTTCTGGTTTCTAAACTAGTTTTCTAAACCTTAAGGTGAAATGGCTAATGAAACTTATTAATGAAACAGTAAATTTAAGCAATATACTACAGGCATCAGTGAGAACACGTGACAAATGTTGATCTTGTTCTGGGTAGCTGCACCCCTTAATTTTTCTACTGAATTTTTTGTAACAAGATTAAGAATACTTTCTAGTATTTGATTTATAGTTACATATAACACTGACCAATGCTACCCTTGCTAAGATTTTGACTTCTAAAAATTTTGAGAAACTCGAAATGTTCTTTATCATTGGTTACTTATTGGAGTTCCTTTAATTACTTCTGGTCTATTGTGTGACTGCTTTCAAATCTATGGAATTGTATACATTTAGTGTATCATGACAATAGTAATACTGACAATATATAATAATGACAATCATCTCTTCTCTTGACCTTTGTAGCAAACAAAGCAGAAAATTTGGCACTTAAAAATCTAAAAACAATTGACTCAGAAGATTTTTTTGTAGATTTTTCTAAATTTCATCTAGGCCTATTGGCATAGTCATTTATGTTGGATAAATAATTCTTTTTTTTTTTAAAAAATGTTATATGTGGGCAAGGGCCAGGGAGAGGAAAAGGTCAAAGGAGGATAATTTTGACTAAAATTTTTTAAAGTACTCAGCTAAAATGAAGAAGCCTGAGATAGCAATTTATAGTAGATTCTGAGCTCTATGATACAACGTAAAGAGCTGTGTATTTGTTTCTCTCACGTATTATTAGCAATTACTTTTTAAGAACTCTGAAGTCATTACTGATGAGTGTCAGCCTAAATATAAGTACTTTTATGTTGCTTTTGGTGGTGAAATAATGTTAATTCTGTTTAGACCAAGTAACCAAGAAAATTTCTTCAAATTTTGTGAAGTATATCAGAGATATAAATGTATTAGACTGGCCAATTCCCCTTTGTTACCCAAGTGCATTTTTATGTTGGTACATTATTGATATCAAAACTGCAGTGCATTTTAAAAATAAATTTAGGATGACCAGAGTTTAATATTTCAAATTGTCTTTATACTTTCTCAAATTTTTAGTTTTTCAAAATTACCGTGACTAAAAATGTTTAGTGTTTGGATGTGAATCACAGACTGATTCCATTGAATTTTTAATCATAATTTTAACTATAATTGGGATGCCAAGGAACATTACATTCCTAGGGATATTTTCATTAGTAGTCAAAATACGAACATTGACTAACCTGAAGCTTTGTTGAATTAGGGAAATATTCCAGTTTTAACTTGAACTATAATATTGAATATTAAGGAACATTATATCATGTTTCTTGGAAATGTTTTCCTAAACTGTCAGAATATGAGCATAGGCTATTTGATTGGCTTAGACCTTTGATAAGTTAGGGAGTGTTGAAGTTTGATATTTCTGACTCCCTGGTGTACATTTTCTCCCCAACTGCTTTGCCAGCAAATTGATTAGAGGAAGAGATCAAGCTAAGATTGCATTTGGAAAATTGTAAGGTGTTTTCATAGATTTTCCAAACTGCTTGCTGCCACCAAAACCACCTCTTTAACCACCAGGGTTTTCAGCCCCAACAAAAAGAAATTTTATAGCAGTGAAATTATTTTTGTTCTCTTCTGATCTTCCTCTCTCTTAAATTTTCACATACTAAATTTTAGAGCTTTTAAAGTCTTAGTGACACAAAATATTTTAATGTAAAAATGTATTCTTCAAAGAGAGTAAATTTTTTGTTAAGTAATAGAGTTGGGGTTTCCTTATTGTCTCTGGCTATTGTCAAACTTGGATTAGTCAGGTGTAAAATTTTTCAAAATTTTCCTGCTTAGTTGAAAAATAATTTTGTGCTTTATTGTAATTTCATGTCATTTTATTCTTTGTATAGACTAGCAAAGAAGACAAATTATCTAGTCGTATTCAGAGCATGCTTGGAAACTACGATGACTCCTACGAAATGAAGGATTTTATAGGAGATAGATCTCTACAAAAGCTTGTTGCAATTCCCAAACCTACCATACCATCAACAACAGATGAAAAACCAAATCCAAGTTTCTTTAGTGAACACAGACATGGTAGCTCTCATCAGAGCAGCAAATGGACTCCTGTAGGACCAGCACCTAGCACTTCTTCCCAGTCGCAGAAACGGTCTTCAGGTTTACAGAGTGGACACAGTAGCCAACGGACCAGTGGAAGTGGCAGTAACAGCACTAGTAGTGTTGGTCAGAGGCATGACCGTGAATCATACAGTAGTAGTGGCGGCAGCAGTGGTGGTAGCCGTAAAAAAAGCCAGCATGGATCAGAACACTCTAAATCTCGTTCTTCCAGTCCTGGAAAACCACCTGCTGTTTCTTCATTAAGCTCTAGTCATTCCAGAGCTCATGGGAATGATCACCACAGCAAGGAGCAGCGTTCTAAGTCACCACGGGACCCTGATGCAAATTGGGACTCGCCTTCTCGTGTTCCTTCATTTTCAAGTGGACAGCACTCTAGCCAGTCTTTTCCACCTTCGTTGATGTCAAAGTCAAACTCAATGTTACAGAAACCTACTGCCTATGTAAGGCCCATGGATGGACAGGAGTCCATGGAACCAAAGCTAACCTCTGAGCACTACAGCAGCCAATCCCATAGCAACAGCATGAGTGAGCTGAAGCCTAGTAGCAAAGCACATCTAACCAAATTGAAAATACCTTCCCAACCATTAGATGTAAGTTGATTATTTACTTATAAGAATCTGGATTTAAGGTAGATCATAGAAGTATATATTTAGAACTGGAAAGGACTTGAGAGGTCATCCTCATCTATACCCTTCATTTTAGAGTTGAGGAAAATGGGGCCTTAAAAGTTTAACTACTTGTTCTATAAATATTACTGACCCTAACCTAGCTGTTTGTTTCTTTTTGGCAGCAAGAAGTCATCATACTAATGTATAAAACAGTATTTTGTGATTGATTTTTTTACTTCTATGAAGACATCAGTGCTTCTGTTGTTAAATTGTGTATATAGGAAATAGCCCTCTCCAGCTAGGAAACTGTGATGAAGTGGCAACCATGATTCATTAATAACAGATCTTTTTCCCCCTTTGGGTTATGTAGATTATATATTATATTTGTACCTGTTCTGATTTATATACCAGATTTATATATTCTAGAGATAAATGTCAGAGCTCTCACTATGTACCTGGAAGATATTGAGACAACATTTGTAATTCAAAGTTGTTTGAAATATATTGTTTGTGTAGTAATGACAATACCAAGATGTCCTTCAAAGTAGTCAAAGGGATGAATCATAATATTAGTACAATGACCAATTTTTAGGTTTTCGGGAAAGTTTCAGTACCCAGAAATCCGAAGTATCAAAATTAATTAAATTTGTGTTTGAGTCAGTTGTTTACTAAATAATTTTAATGACTAAGATCAAAAGTAAGGATGAGAGAATGCCCCTCCCTCTCTTTATAAGAGAGATGGAGTTACTATGAGCATATTGTACAGTGTATGAGAATATGTATGTATAGAAACAGGATTCCTCCCAAAAAGGCTTTTGAAACACCCTGTGTTGTCAGACTCAGTTGATTTGTTGGTTAGTTTTTCTAAACATTTCCCCTTCTTTTGTTGTAAGAGATGATTCTCTGGGTAAAGGGAAAACGCTATTTAGAACTGAAGGTGATGTTGAAACAAAAGATAGCAGTTTTTTGAAACAGCCAAATTAGCTTCTTCATTAAACACTACTTTAAATGCAAAACTCCATTTATAATCCTAGCAGTCTCTTTCCTGGTTGGTACCATTTATTTTTCAGCTTCCATTTTTACTGTTCTCCTGTAGAACAATGTTTATTAGTTTACGTGCAAGGATTTTTAAAAATTGTATAGAATTGAAATTGTTTTGCTTTTGTAATCTATATCTTTTTTAATTAAAAAATTACCCCCAAATCATAGATCCAAAAGATACTTGTTCCAGTCTGTAGGGTTTTTTTTTTTATGGATGTGCCTTTTTATTTTGGAGCTTATTTTGCTTATGGTTTGTATGGTCTAAGCCTTATGTTATAAAAAAAAAGTATTTTCCCCAAGATGATAATGTTAAATGGTGTTTTGCTTGAATGTGCTTATGTCTTGTTACTTTCTTTACTTGTTTAGGATGATTTAATATGTTGATTTGAAAAATCATCAGCAGTCTTCCTTTTTTTAGGCATCTGCATCTGGTGATGTGAGCTGTGTGGATGAAATTCTTAAAGTAAGTTATCTGGTTATTTTGACTTATGAAAATTGTGTATGTGTTTGGTTAAAAATCCATCAGAGTAATAGATTTTTGCCAGAGTTGACATTTTTGTTCTCCATCAAATGGTTTAACTGCTCTGTGTTAGGAGTACTTCCAAGAGAGTGTTTAAAAAAAACCAAAAAACCAAAAACCAACAGAAACCTCCAAATTGACAACTTTGAGAGCCAGGAGAAGCAAACAGTGTTTTTGAGGTGTGCATCTGGTCCTAATGAAGTCTGCTAATCACTTAGGTTGAGAATAGCATTGGCATCTAATTAAGATAACTTCTTGACCAGGAATTACATTCATGGACTGTGAGGACTCGAAAGAGAATAGAGCCGTTATCTGATTTCTCTCATGAATTGACAAGTAAAGTCTTTCTTAACTAGCCTGCAGTGATTTTGTAGGACTTTTTGCCTATACCACTCATTTGACTTTAGTCTTATTCACAATCTTCATTTGCTTCACCTCTTCAACTAGGCTGTAGATATGAGGTCATGGACTTTATTATTCATCTTTGTAATAATATGCTTTGCGTGTAGTAAAGACTTAGATATTTGTTGGCTAATTAGATGCATTTTCTAGCTTGAGCATGTGCAGGTACACAGAACAATTATGAAGAAAGTTATGGCAAATTGAAGTATGACTTTTGGCATAGTTTACTTTTTTTTATATTTGGGTTGTAAACTAATTGTGATAATTTATTTCAGGAGATGACCCACTCATGGCCGCCCCCCTTAACGGCAATTCACACACCATGCAAAACAGAACCTTCTAAATTTCCTTTTCCAACTAAAGTGAGTAAACAAAATTACTTTCATACTGTAAACAAACTCTAAATGACTTTAGTAAAGTTATGAAGATAATTAAATGTGGCTTTAAATTCCCAAAGTGAATTTTGGACTCATAGATTGTCCTTAATAACTGTATTGCATGCTTAGTAATCACCTGGCTATCTCCTTTATCTTTCCATCTTGACAATAATTGCCTCTTATAGAACACAATTCCTATTTCTTTTCTTTGTCGCCACTTTAGTCTGAAGGATTTATAGTCATTTTTTTATCTGTTCCAATTTTTTGTCGTCTGCTGAAACTGAAAGTACTAAAATCATACTTATTAAATAAAGCATTGTTTCTACACTGCTAACATTGCCTTATCTACCCCAAGTATATTTCTTTAGATATCTATATTTTCCTGTTAATTTAATTTTTGGGAGCACTTCCATTTTGAGGCATCAGAAATAAAATATATACAAAGTTCAATACAACACATTAACTTTTCTGAAATGTATCTTGGCATTTCAAATTCATTAGTTTGGCTGAGCACAGACTATGTAGGAAGAGATGAGAAATGAGGATAGGATATTGGGTCAGAGCCAGGCTTTGGACAGGGCCTTGTGTGCCAAGCTGAGGAGTTTATGTTTTATCCTAGTGGCAGAAGGGAGCTAGATACTGAAGGTTTTTGAGAAGGTGAGTAACATGGATCCAAACAGTGTTTCAAGATTATTTTGGCAGCTATAACTGGAATCAGGGCAAGCAATAGGTTGTAGAAAGGAAGGGAACAAATATTTATTAAGCCCTAACTATTTGCCAGGTACTGTGTTCAGCACTTTACAAATATTCTCTCATTTGATTCTCACAACAACCCATATTATTATGATCCCCATCTTACAGTTGAGGAAATGGAAGAGGACAGAGATTAAGTGACTTTCCCAAGATTACACAGCTAGTGTCTGAGGTTAAATTTGAATTCAGGTCTTCTAGGCCCATGGCCCTATCCACTGTGCTACTTGGTGGCCACTGTGGGAAGAGATGAGGGCCAGGAAAATGTGATGGATTGTAATGAGGTTACAAAGCTGGAGGAGGAAGGGAATATTGCTCTTTACAGGAGAGATGTTTTAAAAGGGAGAGATGGGGGTGGTGGAGGAATGAGCTGAATTTTTGACATGTTGAGTTTGAGATTCCAAAGGGATGCCCAGCAAGCAGTTAGAGATTCAAGATTCAAGTTCAGCAGAGAGATTTAGGACTTTACATACATAACTTTAGAAATCATTCGACTAAAGATGAAAAATGCTGGTTACTGATGAGAGAGAAAAAATATAGAGAGGAAAGAAGGCCCAGAATTGAGCCTTTGGGGACACCCATGCTTTTAAGGAACAAGAGATAGTTGATTTTCCAGCAAAGGAGACTAAGAAAGAGCAGTCATACAGCTGAGAGCGAGCGGTTGTTTATCTAAGACAATGAAGGAGAAAGCAGGCTGGGAGGGAGGAGGTGATTAGCAGTGTCAAAAGCTGCTTAAGGAGGAGTTCTAAGAAAGGACCATGGGATTTAGCAGTATAAGTTAATAGGTAATGAGGCAGTCAGAGCAGAAGTCTATTGATTTGGCAGTGAGAAAGGAGGAGACACATGACAATACTTGGAAAAATTTTTAAGACTGGGAGAGCAAAGAAAAAAGAACCCAGGAGACAAGAACAGAGAGAGGAAAATAATCAATGTGGCAAGTTCTTGTAGAGATGGACCCCTTTGGCAGTCTGGTGAAACCTGTTTCCCTTCTCAGAATAGTATTTTTAAATGGATAAAACAGAATGTGTAGGCCTGCACAGAAAACTAAAGATTAGTGAAAATAAAGGTATATATTTTTTTCTCATCCAGGTTTACAGATCACCTCCTTACCTCCCCCCCCCAAAATCTAGGATTGTAAACTTGTAGCCCAATATTTATTGATAATGAAATTACTGCTTGAGAGCAGGGACTGGTTTTTGTTTTTGTTTTTTGTTTTGCTTTTTTTGTATTTCCAGTGATTGTTACAGTGCCTGGAATTTAGTAGTTAGGTGCTTAATAAATGCTAGTTGACTTGGGAACATGAACAAAAGATATATTCTTACAGACTAAGAAATTTTTTGTTACTGTAATAAACAGAACCAGCAAAATAGCATGCATGAGATCTACAGCTGAAAGAATGAAAACAAATTGAAAATAAATACCATGTAATGATAATGACCAAGTTTGCCCCCAAAGAAGAAAAATAAGAATGTGCTTCACTTTCTTATTTACAGAGGTGAGGTAATAAAGGGCTGTGAAACACTGTATATATATACTGGTAAGCTTGGTTGGTGTGTAGGTTAGTTTTACTGAACTCTTTTTTTCTCTTTTAAGGGACAGGTTTCTGAAGGATGGAGGGAATATATTAGGAAAAAAAGATGATGTGAAAACAAAGACAATTAAAATTAAAAAAAAAATTTGCCAAATATTGAGAGCATAGATTAACTGAGAGAAAAGCTTATAAAAATTGAAGTCAATAACATAACGTGTTTGGCATGCAGCTAAAGTTCTCATCAGTGGCAGATTTGTGTCTTTGTACACTTACATTAATGACAGAGAAACTAATTTATAAAAAATTCTGCTAAAAAGAAAAATCAACTAATAAACCTCAGACAACCATAAAGGGGAATATTTGACAATTAAAATTTAAGTAAACAGATTTGAAATTTTAAAAAATTGAAATAATGAAACAAAATTTGAGTTTTTGAAAATATATTAAACTATTAGTGAAATTGATCAAAAGAGAAAACACATTGTAAAAGTTAATAATGAGAAAAGGAATTGGAGAATATATGAAATTATAAACTATTACTGAAAATCCAAGTGATGTAGATGAATATCTACAGAAATATAAAATTAAAACAAAATTTAAAAACAGTTAACCCAAATGACCCAGTCTAGGATACAGGGGAACAAGCACTGTATTCAGAGGGTCTTTCTTCAGATCCTCACTCTGCCACTTTATAATTTGAGCCTGACAACTTTTCTAGACCTTGACTTTATCATCTGTAAAATATAGGAATTGGACTAGATGCCCTGAAGGTCCCTTTCAAGAATAATGCTGCAAGTAAACCACAAATTAACTGTTAAGAGGAAAATGCTAGGATCACTAGTATTAGGCTTACTAGTAAATTCTGTCAAACATTTAAAGGACAAAAATTAACTTGTTTCAAAAACTGTATTCAAAAATAGAAAAAAGCAGAACTCTAAGAAATTTCTTCTATGGAACATATATGGTCCTGTTACTCAATCCAGAGGATATCAGAGAAAAAGTGCTTTATGTTAATACCACTAATAAACATCGATGTAACAGTTATTAAGTAGAATATTGGCAGATTTTAGCAATCTATCCCATTGGCTTTATGATCAGTTTGAATGTTTACTGGAAGTGTGAAGATAGATCAACCATAATTAGGAAAGCAGCTAGCAAAATAACCCAAACTGTTCTTTTTAAAAATTGAAGCCTTTTGTTTTTGTGTCATATTTGTTTTTCAAGATTCTGCTTCCTACCCATTGAACTTTATAACAAAGATTTAAATTTGGTGGGGTATCCCATAGAACCCGTCAGCACGTCAGCTATGCCTGTCAGTATGTGCAGTATTTCTTTCCCAGAGATACTCACTTCCAAAATGAAGTAGAGAAGGAAGTATAGTTACTCAGTTCTTCTCAGAGGCAAAGTTTGGGCCTTAAAATTAGACTGTTCAGGTTTGTTTTTTAAAAATAATTTTTAATTTTATTTTTTGATTTCTTTTATATCACCATAGTTTCCCTCATGTTCCCCCTTATCCTCTTTGTGAGCCATCTCATATAACAAATAGTATTTTTTAAAGACAAGAAAAGAGAAGAAATCAGAATAACTGATAAATACATCCAAAAAATCTGAAAATATGCATTGCACAGTATTTGTGGACCTTGGTGGGAGGGTCTCTTTGTAACTCTTCTTTCCACCTATGTAGCATTAATGCTTATAATCTTTTGTCATTTTTTGCCAATTTTCTGGGTATGAGTTGGGACTTCAGAATTGTTTTCATTTGCATTTCCCTTCTTTTAGTGATTTAGAGTATTCTTTCATATGGTTCCATAGTTTACAGTTCTTTAGAGCATTGTTTATTTATATCCATTGAACACTTATGCCTTGGATATCAAATCTTTATCAGAGCTGATTGATGAAAAGATTTATTTTTCTGTCAGACTTTCCTTTCTAACCTTTGTTGGATTGATTTTGTTTATGCAAAAGTTTTTTTGTTTCATGTAATCAAAGTTATCTGTTTCCTGTCAGTCTGTCAATACCAGGCTAGAAATGCACACAACCAACTGTTTCTGTTTTGTATTATGCTTTTTTGGTTGTTGCTATTTTCTATTGCTTTTCATATAACTAAATCGTGTTGCAGTATGTTAGCTGCCATGTGCAATGCATTTTGACTGGTGACTATATTTAAGTGGCAGCGCTCATTTGGAGGATTTAATAGAATGCCTGGAGCCACAGAATTGACTATATGTAAATTTATATTTATGCACATCTGACGTAATTTGAGGTATAAAATGACCTTCTTGGATTAGATGCTGAAGTGATAACCTTAGTTTGGGAGACAATGTCTGATACTTACTGCCCTCATGTTCCTTAACTCTATCCCTTCATCCTTCAAATGATGTTATGTGGAGCTGGGTTTATAGAACCACAGGGATTTGGAGGGGACCCTTGACACTACAAGCTATGGAGATTTACTTGGTGGTAGGGGACAGATAAAGAGGATGCAGAATACCATGGATAATCTTTGTTGGTGACAATAATCACGTTTCCATGAGTTTTAGCAAATTGATTCTGTAAATGTTTTAACCAACATAATTTGCCTATAATTATGGTTTTAATTAAGAAAACGTGTTTCAAGCATATTAGAGTAATTGAAACCATTCATTTTCCATTGAGGGTAATGAGTTAAGACAAGCAGCATTGTAATATAGAATGTTAGTGACTGATAGAGAAAGAAAAGTACACTTAAATGATTCAGGAGGTTGCTGTTTGGCACAGGGAAAGTCCATCATTGACCACAAAGTTGCATTGACTAATAATCTGTAATAGATGGGTGAACAGAATATTAAATTATAAGTGATTAACTTTTTTACCTTGTCACCTAACTATAAAAACCATAACAGTACTCTGAAATAAGTTAGCTGGAACTAGGCAGTTTGATTTGAAGTCAGCTTCCCAAATGAATATTTCAGCTTTCTCTTGAGATTACTGTAATGTAACTTTCCCTCTCCTTTGTTTAGGAATCTCAGTCAAATTTTGGCCCTGGAGAACAAAGTAAGTATTTCTGTTACTTTGATTCTTAAAGTAAATAAACATTAAGTTTGTATTTTGTGCAGTACACTGTGCTTGGAGTTGATAACACATACATGGAAAAAAATAAGACCTAGGCCTTCCCTTAATAAGCTTTTAATCTTGTAAGAGTGATAGACATGTGTACAGAAAAATACAATTCAAGTTAAATTATAAGGGAATTGCAGAATAGTATGAAAGAGATGGATTGGGGATGGCATGGCTTATTTCTGGGGGATCAGGAATGACTATGTTGTAGAAAGTTTCTTTTTAAATAAGCTGTCTGGTTCCCTTTGTCAAACCAAGTACCCTTGAAGATATGCCTGCTTCATTTATTACCTTTTGGTGATGATCATGCTTAACAGAAAATACTTAAATAAATTTTGTGTACCTCTAATAATTTTTTCCTGGCTAAATGAATTCCATTGTGGCCTGACAGATGACCATAAGGTGTAACCATTCCATTAAGTACAGCCATTGATTAATTTCGGATTTGTACTTTGGGGGTTGGAAACACATAACTGTAATGCTCTGATTCAGGCTTAATTCCTGTCATCTTCAGTAGTCATTTAAGAAGTTCCAGTTAAATATTGCAAACTAACTTCACCTATAACTTACATTCATAGTTAAGTATGCTTTTCTTGATATCAAAAGTTATTAAGTTATTGTGTCAGTCAAAAAGGATTTTTCTCTGTTACTATCGATATTCAGTCATATAGCAACAGACGGGTAGTTGATAATTTATCATGAGAAAACTGAGATTGTCTCAAGTTAGCTGTACTAATACCTCAGTCCTCTCAGTTATTCTAATTAAATGTTACTCTGGTTTGACTGTTTCTCATCCTGTGTTGGTTACTCACTTGAGCAATCTCTTTATTCTAGAAAGATACAATCCTTCATCTAAAACTTCAAATGGTCATCAGTCCAAATCGTAAGTTAATTACTTAATTATCTTTCATTTTTAGAGTTCCTTTGCTTCACAGCTTGTTAATCTGTATAGTTTGGGAATTTGGGACAAAATTTAGAAATGTTATCTTTTTAGGTTTGGAATTATTTTTCTTGATTTCATTTATGAATGTATACTAAGTATTAAATTAAAATGTCCTTTAAAAGTATGATCAATGCTTATAAGACCTTTAGGCCAACTAATAGTGTTGCAGTATACAACAATTATATTATCCCCAAGTCTTTGTGAATTATTTGGCAGGTAATGTGAGGGGGTAGGGAGAGAGAAGGGAAGAGAGAGGGTGGGGATGGTGCTGTTATAATAGTTAAGCCCTCAAATACCTTTGAAATTCCTGTATGATTTATTTAACAAGTATTCATCTGATAGACCAGAGCCTATGGCCCCTTAGCTCAATGAATAGAACTTTTGTATCAGTGATGTGAAGTACATGGGTTTGATATCCACTTGGTCCACTTCATGTTCTTATATTCTGTTGCCATACATTCCACTCTTAATCTCAGCCTAAAAATGTGTTCCATTGATCATTTATTGAACTTGATAATTCAGGATGAATAAATCAATGTAAATCATTGATACTCAAATCACATTTGTATTGAATCATAGGTTCTGTTAAGTCATCTTCATGTACAGAGAGAACTTTGAGTTCTATCAGATATATGACACTTTAGCATACGTGTTAAGGGATATAAAAACAGCAAGATTCTTAAGTCTAGTCAAGGAAGTATTAAACATTTGATATACATGCATGGAGAAAATAGATACTGAAAATAATTATATAACATGCTCTATACCAAATGTTCAAGGAACTTGAATAAGGAAGCTAGGAAATTTTCTTAAAGCAGTTTTGGGACCCACAGTATATAGTGTACTAAGAAGAAAGTACTTTTATTTTTTCTACTCAAAGATCATTTGTCTCATTTTTATGCTCAAAACTAGCCATCAGGGAAGTACTTTTTAGTTGGCATGATGAGTAAGGCTCTGAACTCAGATCAGGTTTACCAATGTGGGTATGAAGGGAAGTGTAAGTTATCATAATAAAAGAATTCTTTTCCCATTGACTAGATATTGGAATATAATCCAAGGAGCAGAAAACATTACAAAATGAGGATTCCAGTAACTGAAGCCTTCAGTTCAGTAAACCTTTATTGAGGAACTGTGCTAAATGCTAGGGTTACAAAGATGTAAATGAAATGTGAAGGCAAAGCCAAGATGGCAGAGTAAAGGCAGGGACTTGCCTGAGCTCTCCCTCAAACGCCTCCAAATACTTTTAAAAATGACTCTAAACAAATTCTAGAGCAGCAGAACCCACAAAAAGGTGGAGTGAAACAAATTTCCAGCCCGACAATTTGAAAGGTCAGCCAGAAGGGTCTGAAGGGATGATATCTAAAAAATAAATTAAGAAGTGAGAGAGGATTGTACTGGGAGAAAGAGAAAGGGAGAGGTAGAATGGGTAAATTATCTCACATAAAAGAGGCAAGAAAAAGCTTCTACAGTGGAGGGGAACATAAGGGGGAGTAAGTGGACCTTACTGTCATCAAAATTGGCTCAAAGAGGGAATAACATACACACTCATTAGGTATAGAAATCTATTTTACCAAACAGAAAAATAGGAGGGTAAGGGGATTGGGGTGAGGGGGTGATAGAAGGGAGGGCAAATTGAAGGAGGGGGTAGTCAGAAGCAAAATAAGGGACAGGATGAAAGGAAAGAGAGAATAGAATAAACAGGGAAGAGAAGATAGGATGGAGGGAAATAGCAATAGAAATTATTAGTAATTAGTAAAAGTAATAGTAATGAAAAAATTTTGAAGCACGTCTCTGATAGTGGTTTCATTTCTCAAACATAGAGAACTGAGTCAAATTTATAAAAATAAGAGCCATTCTTCAATTGATAAATGATCAAAAGATATGATCAGTTTTCAAATGAAGTAATCAAAGCTAGCTGTAGCCATATGAAAAAATACTCTCTCTATTGATTAGCGAAATGCAAATTAAAACAATTCTGTACTACCTCATACCTATTAGACTGGCTAATAGGACAGAAAGGGTAACTGACAAATGTTGGAGGGGACTTGGGAAAAATGAGACTTTAATACACTGTTGGTGGAGTTGTGAACTGATTCAGCCATTCTGGAGAGCAATTTGGAACTATGCCCAAAGGGCTATAAAGCCATGCACACCCTTTGACCCAGCAATACCACTAATACATCTGTATCCCAAAAGAGATTTAAAAAAGAAAAAGACCTAGGTATATAAAAAATATTTATAGCAGCTCATTTCCGGGGGCAAAAGATTAGAAATTGAGGGGATGCCCATCAATTGGGGAATGACTGAAACAAGTTATGGTATGTGATTATGATGCCAAATACCATTCTACTATAAGAAATGATGAGAAGGATGCTCTCAGAAAAATATGGAAAGACTTGCGTGGACTGATGCAACTGCGTACAAAGTAACAGCATTAATGTTAGATGATCATCTGTGAATGACTTAGCTATTTTCAGCAATACAACAATCCAAGACAACTCTGAAGGACTTAAGATGAAAAATGCTATCCATCCCCAGAGAAAGAACTGTTGGTGTCTGAATTTAACTTCATTTTTCTTGATTTTTTTATGTGTGTCCATGTTTTCCTTCACGATATGACTATTATGGATATGTTTTGCATGACTACACATGTATAATATCAAATTCCTTGCCTTCTCAATAGGGGGTGGGGGTTTGGGGAGGGAAGAACAGAGAGAAGTTTTAAAAACGAATGTTAAAAATTGTTTTTACATGTAACTGGGGAAAAAGTTGTAAAAATAAATACTTTAAAAAATAAATGAAATATGAGGGAGAACAGAAACAACTGGGGAAATTAGTAAAGGCCTTTAGTTAGAGGTGAAAGAGAAAGAGCATTCCACCTGTGTAGGAAAGCTCATGTAAAGACATGGAGGTGCAAGATGCGATATTGTGTACCAAGAACTACAAATACGTGTTCTATTGAAACATAAAATACAATGATTAGGGAGTAATGAGAAATTAGTTTGGAAAGATAGACTGGAGCTATATTGTGAAGGGCTTTTAAACACCAAAGAAAGGAAGTTATATTTTATCTTAGGGAGGTACTGAAGCTTCTTCCGCCCAGTGTATGACATGGTCATACCTATGTTTTAGAAATATCACTTTGGCAACTGTAAGAGGACAAACTGGAGAAATATATATGCAGAGAGACCAGTTAGGAGGCTGTTGTAGTAGTCCAGGTGAGAGACTGGGAAGATCTGAACTAGAAACATGAATATACGAGCAGAAAGTGAGGGATAGATATAGAATTGGAGGTAGAATATAGAGGACTTGACAGATTGGTTTTGAGTAGTGAAGGAGAGAGAAGGGTTGGCAACCATTCTTGTGGTTGCCAACTTGAGTGATTAAAAACAATTATTTGAGATTCCTTGAGTTTTAGAATCACGTTACCCTATTCTTCACAGCTGCAGTAACCACTCTGATACTCTAAATATTTGATTTTTGGCAAATAACCAATCATATCCATTTTTGGACATTCTTGCTATAAATGAAACCAGAAAAGATAAGAATGTTGCAGCTAAATAGAAGGATAACTCACATGTCCTCCTTGAAGAGGCACTTTTTTTTTTTTTTTTTGGTGAAGCAATTGGGGTTAAGTGACTTTCCCAGAATCACACAGCTAGTGAGTGTTATGTGTCTGAGCTCGGATTTGAACTCAGGTCCTCCTGAATTCAGGGCCAGTGCTCTATCCACTACGCCACCTAGCTGCCCCAAACAGCACTCTTAAAAAACCTTTGTTCTATATCAAGAAATTATTAAAAGAAAACTACCTAGACATATTAGAACAAGAAGGCAATGTGGAAATTGAATCCACTGTTCACTTCCTGAAAGAAATCCCACAATGAAAATGTCCAAGAATGTCATTTTCAAAATCCATACCTATCAGACAAAGTTTAAAAGTAATATAAGCATCCAGAAGAAGGAATTTATCAAGGAACCACGATCAGGATCGCTCAAGATTTATCAGCTATCACTTCATTGGAGTGGAGAATGTGGAGTTAGATACTGCAAAAGACAAAAATCTACAACCAAGGATAACTTATCCAGGAAAATTAGTTATTCTACAAAGAAAAAAGAAGTAAAATAGAAGATTTTTCAAATATTCCTGATGGAAAGGGGGAAAAAAACCCTAGAGCTGAAAAGGAAGTTGGAAGTGTAAATATGGAAATCAGGAGAAAAATTAAAAGGTAGCTGCAAGTAAACAATCAGAAGGCATTTTATAAGGACTGTTTACATTCTAGATGTTAGAAAGGTTCTTTAAGAATCTTATTATCAGGGGCAGCTAGGTGGCACAGTGGATAGAGCACCAGCCCTGAAGTCAGGAGGACCTGAGTTCAAATCCGGCCTCAGACTAAACACTTGACATGTACTAGCTGTGTGACCCTGGGCAAGTCACTTAACCCCAATTGCCTTTTAAAAAAAAATCTTAACATCAAAAGGGGCCATAGAGATAGTCATCTAAAACAACCTATGAAAACTTGTTATGTTTTGAAGATGCTATGAGACGAAAAAGAAGAGAACCAACTCCCCCTTTCAGGCCCCCATCACTTTTTTCCTGGACTGTTGCAGTGGTTTCTCCCCACTCCTGATCATCTTCCATGCTTCTGCCTGCCAAAGTGATTTTCCTAAGTGCAGATCTAATCATGTCTCTCCTCTACTCAGTAGGTAACTCCGGTGGCTCTGTATTGACTCTTGGATAAAATATTATTGCATCTTTATCTTATCCCTTTAAAAAAAATTTTATATACGTTTTATAATATGCATTCTTAGTATAGTAGTACATATGTGTGTGTGTGTGTATATATATATACACATATATATATATACACACACATATACATACACACACACATACATATATAACATTTATAGGGATAGGGACTAGACTTGTGATTTCATTGGTATGGAGAAGTACCAGAAGAAACTCCTTCTCACAGTACAGGAACCAATTTATCAGTAAGTAAATATATTCATTTTAGGGGTTCATGCTCAAAATTATTTTACTGACTGTAACCACTACTTTAAATCATAAGAGGATATATTTAGATGAAATTGAGTCCAGTGCAGGCAGGTCACCTTACCCTCTGGACATCAGTTTCAAAAATTCAAAGAGGTTGGGTAACATCCCTGAGGTCTAGTAGAACTTATGTTGACATAGACTCAAGGATTTTAACGCAAAGGTGGATATATGGGACGAGAGCGAAAAGTACATGGGAAAATTTAGTTTAGAAAGAAGAAAGGAAGGGATATAAGACTAGTTACCTGCAGGTTTCTTGCTTGAGTTAGTGAATGCTTTTTTTCAGGAAGAGTTAAATAACATGGATGTGAACACTGATTATCACAAAAAAGTGAAATTGTGATTGAATTTTACCATGTAGGAAATGATTGATTAAAGAAGTAAGTCATTTTTTAGTCACTTGTCTGTATGCAAGTATCAAGTAGTTAGAACAAAATCAACACCAGTGCCAAGATAAAAATAAATAAATAAAAGAGAAAACACTTAGTGAAACCTGAACTTTTCAGACAATCTCTTGATAACAATAAATAGGAAATGAACTGATTATCATGATTTCCTGTAGAAGCATGATCCAGTGTAATAAAACATTGTGAATAAGGGAGAGCAGAAAAGCCCAGAGAAACTCCCTTAGCCAGAAAACTCCTCTCCTCTGTAAAAGATACACCCGGTATGGACAACTTTTCTTTATAATTATAGACTCATTTGCAATACAAGATGAAAATGAAAAATCACAAATAGTGTATCACCTCACAAAACAAAATACTTCCCCAGTGTGCTGAAGTTTTCAGTAAGAAAGTAGAAATGAGACTTAAGAAAATGACGTCAAGAAGAGCTACTGGAACAGACCAAGCACCATGGAATAAGTCTCTTCTGGATGCAATATGATTTTGAAAGCATTGTCTAAACTGCAAGACTTAAAACTGAAATGATTGAGAAAAATAATCACTGATAATATTATTATCTAAAAAAATTCCTCTTCTAGGAGATTCATTGACTACTCAAAAGATAGCTGCCTTATAACCCATACAGGAAAATGAAATAATAATAATTATTATTATTAACAAATAGTAGTTTACATGTAATTGAGGAAAAATAAATTGTTATTTAAAAAACAAATAATAGCTACCTAGCACTTCTATAGCACTGATGGACAGATGGACAATCAACTAGGCTCAGAATTGAATGGAAGAAAGAAAATGGGCTGTGTTGCAGAACTTTCAATCATTCCAAACTGCTGTTTGACTCATCCATCTCTTAACACCAGCAGTCCCCTAGTATTACTATATGGCTGTAATTCACAGAACACCGTAGTGACCAAAAAATCATTATTGCAGTGGAGATCATGGGTATCACTATCGTATTTTACCAACAGTGATTTGTCCTTAGTAAGTAACATAAAAGATATTTTCCAGGGAAAAAAAATTTTGACCGGAAAAGGAGCAGGGCTGGTCATTTAGCAGGAATAAGGAATAACATATGGAAAGTAAAAGCATTGTACTTGGTACCCTTTAAATGTTAATAAGACCTGTAGGAAAACCTCTTAGTATGTGGGGGAGGGTGGGATGGGTGCTTGATACTGTACTTGTAATGTGTGGACAGAAATTACACAGAATGAGATGCTGTTTGATGGATTACATATGGTCTGTACTGTTAGAGGAAGTACCCATATTGAGGAGATACATTGAAGTTTAGAATAATTACCAGTAATTGAACACACATCCCTGGGTCAGGGATCATGCGTAATTCATCTACAATATAGGACAAAGGCCCTTGTTTTTTGTAATGGATTAGATAAATTAGAATGTTGACTGGTGAAATCGAACTGTGATTTTTACAAATAATTGAACATGTCTACCTCTGTGGAAGTTTGAGGGGAAAGAAATCACACTCGATGTTTTTCTCTGCATGCTTTCTTTTTAATATGTAAGTTTTGGGAAAGACTCCCAATAAGAAATTGTGTGTGATTCTTGCCATTTGTGGGTATGATTGGATTAAATAACCTTAAAAGTCCCTTCAGATACCAAGTCTGTGAATTTATAAATATTGTTTATGTATAGGAAAAAATTCCTCTGATACTTCATTGATATTAAGATGAGTAGTTGTAGAAAAAAAATTATTTCTTCTTCCTTAGTTCTTTACTCCAGATATGAAACAAACCAGCCAGAGTAAGACTTCCCTAAATCATTGGTTTCATCAGCGATTGCTTCTAGTATTATTGGTAGCTATTAAATGTTTGGCAAGCTATTATAGAGTGTTCTCAAAAATCCTAATGTCTTCAATTTTTCCCTCTAGTATGTTAAAGGATGATTTAAAACTTAGCAGCAGTGAAGATAGCGATGGAGAACAGGTAGGTAATTTAAGATTTTGCAAATATTAGAAAGCTAAATAATAGACTTTGTCGATTGCTGTAGCAGAAGTGGTACTAATAGTAATCTTTGATGTTTGTATAGCACTCTGTACATCAATTAACAAGCATTTTTTAAGCACTTACTATGGGGGGCGAGCAGGAAGTAAACATTTATATAGTGCCTACTATATGCTTGGCATTGTGTAGTGCTCTTACTTTTGACTGTGTAGCGTTATCACTTTGTGCTAGGGACTTTTGTCTCCCATGACCATTGTCTGGTAAGAGCTTTACAAATATTACCTTATTTGACCTACTATGTGGCAGGCAGCTGTGCTAGGCACTTGAGATATAGAGACAAATTCTGTGCCCTAAAAGAATTTACACAACAGTTAATTCTTAATTGTTAAAATAAAAATTCCTTTTTTTTTTTGAAGTTAAAACATTTAAAGATTCCTATTTTCAAAGAAGTTTTTACTTTACTGCAGAATTTCCAGTCTGTCAACCAGACAAGATTAGCTTGTCTTAAAACAAAAAATGGTTGGTTTGTTGTAATACTCAAAAATAATATGTGAGAATGTATCAATTAGAAGAATTTTTAGGAAGGAATATAGTGGCTTCTCTTTGGTGCTTTGTGGCTGAAGACTTAACTGCTTTTTTATTCTTTGGGTTATGGCAGTATTGGACAAATGTCCTCTGGAATTCCTTCCCCATTCTTCTCACCACCACTCCCCAAAACATGGAGAGCTTAGGATAATTAGGTCTTCCCTTTACTTCATTAATACATTTGGGTCTCTTATCTTAAAGTTTTCTATATGGTAAGAGTTACTGTAACTTTTTTTTTTCTTAGATTGAGACAAGTCTACCCTGAAGGGTTGGTGTTAGCACTTTTATGATCTAATAAAAATGGCAGTTTATGCTTATTAAATCTAGAATTCATCATTTCTTTTAGAGGCTAAAACAGCCCAAGTCTTCACTGGCATATGCCTGTTTTTATTTCTCCTGGGGCCAGTGGAACCCAGTCTGTCCTCTTTAAGTGATAATTCTCAGCATGAAAAATATACTATTACATTTATGGCAAAATATTCATACAGATAAGTTAAAATATTAAAATAACTTTTTGAAAATGCCTTTTTCTACACTTAATCTGTACCAATCAGGAAGGTGATAATTATGATACAGATTCTTCAGTGAAAAGAAGTTTTGGGAAATACTGCAACGATAAATTGATAATGCATTTAGTTATGGTTTAGGATGTTGATCACATTTAGTATGTAGAATAGTAAGTGTGATTCATGAACTTATTGTACTTTAATTATAGGATTGTGATAAAACTGTGCCAAGGAGTACACCGGGAAGGTAGGCATTGATATGTGTTTGGGGTAAAAGTGTGATATGATAATACATATATACTTATGTAATTGCTTATATGTATAGTGTGTGCAGTGTGTTTTTTGTGTGTGTGTGTAAAATAGCTTCAGAAGCCTTTGGTTATAAGGAAATAAGTTATGATGAAGTAGTTTTGGATCTTGGTAGGTTTGCACAAAAGTATTTAATATAACAAAACACTACAAAAACACCGTACAAAATAGTTAATGATTAGAAGTGATCAGACTAGAATGAAATTGTATTTAGTTTAACAAAGCAGCCATATTCATTTCTTCATTGAGATAAAGTTTAAATTTTATCTTACCTTTTTTTTTTTAAAGTAATTCTGAACCTTCACACCACAATAGCGAAGGAGCAGATAATTCCAGGGATGACTCCAGTAGCCATAGTGGATCTGAAAGCAGCTCTGGATCTGACTCGGAGAGTGAAAGTAGTTCCAGTGATAGTGAAGCCAATGAGCCGTCACAGAGTGCATCTCCTGAGGTAGGGTGAATGCAGTCCCTGCTCTGAGGTGATTTTCTTAGGCTACTGAGAGTTAGGGTTAATTGGAAGAAGTGATTCTGAATGTAAGAGTGTAAAGAGAAATACTTTGTGCGTTCTTGGCCATCTAAGCTGAACTTAACTACCATACTTACTGGGGAAGCTGCATGGGGAGGGGAATAGGAGAACTTTATAGATCAATCAGCTAATTACTTTTCCTCTGTTTCTGGTCTAATTTGCTTTGTGTAAAACCTCCTTGGTGCTTTGAGGTGATATTGTAAATCACTTAAAGAGTAGTTTTTCTTCAGGCTTATTTTTGTGTAACATCAGTTTAAAGACCTCAGTGATATTAGGGCAGGAAATAAGAAAACCTGAGTAGGTACAGTTTTATTATTAAAGTTTATTGAATATGCAGATGAAATATCATCCAGTGTGTGCATCTGTTATCATTGGATAACTTGAGGCTGTTAAATATTAACTCTGTGTATTCAGAATATTGCTTTTGGACTTGGAGTCCAAAATACTGGAATATTGGCCACTTAGAAGCCAATATGTAATATTCAGCTTTTCACCAAAGTTACCAGAATTCTAATCCAACGTTCTGGATTATTAGACCCCGGGGTATGTAAGTGTCTTTCCTTGTAACTGCCAACTATTTCTTAGTGGGATTGAGTGTTTATATCTAATCTCTTTAGGAAGATAGAGGAGAAATAAATTTAATAAAGAAATAATGTACTGTTTTCTTTTTCAGCCTGAACCACCGCCAACAAATAAATGGCAGCTTGATAATTGGTTGAATAAAGTGAATCCACATAAAGTGTCACCAGCTTCTTCTGTAGATAGTAATATCCCATCTTCTCAAGGCTATAAAAAGGAAGGTCGGGAACAAGGACCAGGAAGTGGCTACGTTGAGCAGAATGGACCTAAGGAGTCCAATTCTTCTACTCCTGGACGTGATTCCAAAACTATTCAAAAAGGATCAGAGAGTGGTCGTGGGAGACAAAAGTCCCCAGCCCAGAGTGATAACACTACACAGCGAAGAACTGTAGGAAAAAAACAACCCAAAAAAACAGAGAAGGCAGGTGTAGAAGAGCCTCGAGGGGGCCTAAAAATAGAAAGTGAAACCCCTGTAGACATGACAACAAGTATGCCCTCCAACAGACACAAGGCAGCCACAAAAGGCTCAAGAAAACCCAATATAAAGAAGGAGCCCAAATCTTCCCCTAGATCTACAACAGAAAAAAAGAAGTATAAGTCAGCAAATAAACCTTCACAAAAATCTAGGGAAATCATAGAAACAGATACTTCATCGTCTGATTCTGATGAAAGTGAGGGCCTTTTCCCTTCTTCACAAACTCCTAAGTATCCTGAGAGCAATAGAACTCCTGTTAAACCCTCCTCAGTCGAGGAGGAGGACAGCTTTTTTCGGCAAAGAATGTTCTCTCCTATGGAAGAGAAGGAACTCCTTTCCCCACTTAGTGATCCTGATGACAGGTATCCTCTTATTGTGAAGATTGACCTGAATCTCTTGTCAAGAATACCAGGGAAGCCTTATAAAGAAATGGAGCCCCCCAAGGTAGAAAAGAAAAATGTGCCTGAAAAGCACACGAGAGAGCCCCAGAAACAAGTCTCAGATAAAGGTTCCACCAAGGGGAAGAGGAAACATAAGGTTTGTAAAGCTTACAAGAAAGGCTTTTTCATTCTCAGATAGTCAAACTAATATGCACCATCAATGACTGAGCTAATGCCTACAATGTTACAAGTAGTAACTCTGACTTTCAATAGGGAGAGATTCCAAGAGCCAAACTTTGGTATCAGGCATGATATTCACTTACACTGAAAGTTCATTCATATCTGCCTGTGCTATATTTGGAGAGACAGAAAAAGGAAGAGTAGATGGAATTATTAGTTATTATTAGTTGCAAGCACATGTTTTTGTGTTCCCAGGACTTCTTTGCTTATAAGTACTCAGTGAATATTAAATGAATTTTCACTGGACTCTATTCTTTTTTCAGTTATGTATATACATCTACTTCTTAAACTTTCTACTTTGCTGTCTCCTCAGTAATATCATACTTAAAACATAGGAAGAGCCTTCAGCTGTATGTCCAGAATTTGTTCACAGAAGTGAAAATACATCATCACTAAGCTCCTACAGTGGCTTAGAAAAGTCATTTTCAGTCATGTCTTACTCTTATGACCCCGTTTGAGTTTTTCTTGGTAGAGATAGTAGAGTGGTTTGCTATTTCCTTCTCCAGCTCATTTTACAGATGAGGGAACTGAGGCAGTGTTAAATGATTTGCCCAGGGTCACACACCTAGTAAGTGTCAGAGGCAAGATTTGAACTCAGGAACGTGACTCTTCTGACTTCTGGCACTCTATCCAGTGTGCCACCTAGCTGCCTCAGCTTAGCAGACTAGAGAACCGTGTTTGGAAGACTCAAGCAAGTTCATGATTTGGGGGATCTATTCTGTGTTTTTTGCTGATGTCTTCTAAGTATAAACCACTTCAGGGATACTAGAAAACTGAACTCAAAGGGAGTGTGAGTGAGTTTAATCCCAGAAGATTTTATGTTCTTGTTTCATCTAGAATGATGATGATAACCGAGCCTCTGAGAGCAAGAAACCTAAGATTGAGGAGAAGAGTTCATCAGGCCATAAGACGTCCAGCAGTAGAGAGTGAGTCCCAGTGAATGTTGAACATTGATGTAATTAATATATAGTATTTGTCATTGTGTGCAACTGCTGATATTAGAATCTGCCTAATATGTGATTCAGGCAGTTCATAAGTATTACAACATAAGGGAGATACACAGTGTTTCTTCACAGTGTATTTCCAAGGCAATATCATTCTTGCTGTGTTGTACTTGAAACTAGACCTTTAGTTCCTGTTGTCATCTTGATACCAATTTTACTTTTTTTTTTTTTTTAATACTAGGACCTTTGGCAAAGTGAAAAAGTAAATGTAGATAAAAATACTGTCATTTCTTTTTTTCCTGGATTGTGGGAGAACTATTTCATAGACTGCACAAAGAATACAATAGCATTATATAAGAGCTACAGATAAAAGGCAGATGCTGTTCTTTTCTTCCTGGATTATAAACTCATAATTGGAAAGTGAAGAAACTGGTTCTAAATGTATATGTAACCTAAATGTAAAAAGCCACATAACATTTCAAGGAGAATGGAAGGGGGAGATACCTTTCGCAGATGTGAGTGTGGGGACAATTCTTAATCAAACAACAGATAGAGGTCATCATAAAAGCCAATAAAATTTTTGATTACATGAAAGTGAAAAAGCTTTTTGCATGCAAAATGCAGATAAAATAGAAGAAACTTTGAATGGGGTTATCTTTGCAAAAATTCCTTGTATTAAATATTATTTAAGGTCTGTCTCTACCATCCCTGGAATCAGGAGGACCTGAGTTCAAATCCATCCTTAGATACTTACTAGCTGTGTGACCATGGGCAAATCACTTAACCCTGATTGCCTCCAAAAAAAAAAAAAAGGTCTGTATCCAAGATACATAGGGTTGTGTTTGCCAGTAGATAAATACTGGGTTACAGGATTTCAAGTCTTCTTAAAAGAATTGCAGACTATCAGGAACCACATGCAAAAGTGCTTTAAGTGAACAATAATAAGAGAAATGCAGATTAACTCAATTTTTACCTCACACAACTGAAACGACGTAGGGTGGGCTTTTGAAAGACCAATAACCCACCTGATACACTATTCATGGAGATGTGCATTGGTTCAAGCATTCTGGAAAACAAGTTTGGAATTATGCAAAAAAAAGGTAGTTAAAGAATTCAGGCCCTTGGCAGGAGGATTTTTTTTTTTTTTTAAAGGCAACTGGGGTTAAGTGACTTGTCCAGGGTCACACAGCTAGTAAGTGTCAAGTGTTTGGTCTGAGGCCGAATTTGAACTCAAGTCCTCCTGACTTCAGGGCTGGTGCTCTGTCCACTGTGCCACCTAACTGTCCCTCGAATTCAGGCCCTTGGGACCAGAAATCCTACCAGGCCCATGCTCCTAGGAAATAAAAAATGAAAATGTCCAATATATTTATGAAAATACTCATTAGGAGCACTTGTAATGATATCAAAGAATTAGAAATAAAGTGAGTGCTCATTCATTGGAGAATGAATCTGTGGTCTTATATATCTTGGATAACATATATAACTGAATGATAATAGCTAGCACTTAGGTAACACTTTAAAGTTTGCAAAGCACTTTACAAATATTAATTCATTTTATCCTCACAGCAACCCTGAGAGGTAAGTGGTGTTACTATCCCTGATTTACAGATGAGGAAACTGAGGCAGACAGCAGGTAAGTGTAACTTAGGATCATAAAGCAATTAAGTGCTTAAGGCCACATTTCAACTCTGGTCTTCCTGATTCCAGGCCCAGCCTCACATCCACTGTGTCACCTAGTTGCCTCTGGTAATAGGAATGTAGTGAAATTTTGCACATTAAGAAATTACAAACATGAGGAATTCAGAGAAACTTAGGAAGATTTATATCAACTCATACAGTAAAAATAAGCAGAACAGTATGCACGGGCATGACTGCAGTTGAAATGAAAGAATTATTAAAAAGAAGCCAAACGCTGAGTAATTGGAAAAACCAGTAGTAATGAATCTGAAAAACAGATAATGAAACATACATAACTCCCTTCCTCACTTATGGCAAAGAAACAGGGGGCTACAAGGGCAGAATAATACCTTCATTGTCAGATGCAGTCAGTCCATTAATTATTTTTGCTTAACTGTTTCTTTGTTACAAGAAAGAATTCTGTTGGTGGAGGGAGGGAGACAAAACAGTATATTCAGAAATGATTTTGGTATAAAAGCAAAAGGCATCCATAAAACTTTTTTAAAATGGGGGAAGAAAAAGGTTTGTTGATAACCAATGAGCATCATTTTTTCATTAGGCAGAAATCATTTATGTTATATGCCTTTTAAAAAAATTATTTTTACTGATAGCTTGTTTTTGTATCTTTCTGTCTGAATGTATACCTCCCCTGACCCATTGAGCCATTTCTTATAACAAAACTTTAAAAAAGAGAAAAAAATCAGCAAAATGAACCAACACATTGACTGTGTCTGACAGTGTATGAAATATTCAGCACTCATAGTCCTCCACTTCTGCAAAAGGAGGAACATTTTCTTGACAGTTCTTTGGAGCCAGGCTTGGTCATTGTTATTTGTATAATTTTAGTGACTTCATGAATGCACATTTAAATCAGACCCTGATTTAAGTGCTAAGAATAAGGTTGCTTTTCCTTGAAAACAAAGGGATAAAAAAATACTCATCTTCTCTATTCTGTTTATTCATTTCTCCATTTGGAGAACTAAATTGCATTTCTTTGATTTGACAGGTCATCCAAACAGAGTGCTGTGAAAGAGAAAGATCCATTGCCGTCTCCTGCTGGGCCTATTCCCCTAAAAGACCCAAAAACTGAGCATGGATCCAGGAAAAGAACAGTCAGCCAGTCATCTTCCCTAAAATCTACCAATAGCAGCAACAAGGAGAGTAGTGGTAAAAATAGTTCTTCCACTTCCAAGCAGAAAAAGACAGAAGGGAAAGTTTTTAGTGGTTCCAAAGAAGCCAAGGTAAGAATTTAGAGGCCTTCTCAAAGGGTTAGCCCTTTGAAGATTTATTTGCTCATTGCTTTAAATTATGATTTACATGTAACTTTTCCATTGTGATTTTTCTGATTGGCATTTTAAAAATCTTGTTTAAAATATTCTTTATTTACTAGCTGTGTGACCCTGGGCAAGTCACTTAACCCTGATTGCCTCACCAAAAAGAAAAAAGAAAAATGTTCTTTATTTTAAAAAAATACTTTATAGACCCTGGACATCAGTAACAAAGCCCATCATCTTGATAGTAAACTCCAGTTGTGATAACAACTGAGAATTACGTTTCAGTAGGCAGGAATCTGAATGTTGCCTGTGTTGTCAGATTCACCCTGTGTCTATTCATTTTGCTTAACTGTTTTTCTTTGTTATAGGGGAGTGTGTGTGTGTGTGTGTTTTGGTTGAGGGGAGGGGTTGGAGGTTGTTTGAAAGATAGGAGATAATTACGATGTCAAAACAAAAGGTATCAATAAAACATTTAAAAAAGAGAGATTATGAAAACAGCCTAGTAAATGGTTAACTACATGTTAATTAAGATTAGCCTCTATGGTTGAAAACAACAATTGAGTATAAAAATTAGTCTGTTAGATAAAAACTGACTCTAATTCAAATGGTACCACTTGTTTAGAGTGAATTTTTGGTATGAGATTTGAGAATTGAATTGCTTTGGATTTCAAGTTGAATAATAAGGTGACATATGTAAAATGAACCCAGTTAGTCATTCAGCTTTGTTAGAGCCAATGAAACTTTTAGCAGAGCCAGCACTGATTCAGTTCAAGATAATGTAAATGTAAAGAGATACCAGTCAAAGCTTTCATGTAATTTGTAAGCAGGACATTTTGAAAAAGAAGTTTTTTGAAGGTTGAATTTCCTAGGTAAAAATTTTAACCTTTTGTGTGAATCTCTCTTCAAACTATCTTGGTAATTGAGGAAAACTCCTTAAAGACAGAATAGAAAAAGTAGAATTGAACTACTCTTCTAGGATACAGGAACATGGTGTTAATGTTATTGAGTTTAGATTCCTTAAGTTAGTTAAGATTTGAAAATAGGAAGAATTTCCATGTAAGGCAGCAGAGTTAATGAATTAAACACTAATTTATGAATGCTCAGCTTAGATGTAAGTCTTAAATGTAGCTGGGCTGTATTAGGTAATAGCTAAGTTAACTAACTACTAACTCAGTAGATAATTCAGAATGAAGGAGCAGACATAAAAGATTCAGAAGTTGTAGTGATAGATGTAGCTGATGAGAATGGAACGTTAATGGGTAGGTGGCAGCATAGGCAGGGTGTTGGTTATATTAGGACTTTGGTCTACTTGGCAATTTGAAGTGAAAAGTCCTCAGGCAACTAGAACCATTAGGTAGTAGCAATTTCCTTCAAATTAGTATCATAGGATATCATTAGATGTACTGTGCTGTGTTTTATGCTACTTTGGACAAGCTATACAGTTGAAACTTAGGCTGGCAGATAAATGTGTTGGGAGTTAGGTATAAAGGTCTGGGGACAGGGCTGAGCAAGTAAGGCACAGCATGGAGCTGGCCAGTATGGTATACTCGGGTAAGAGGAAGTCCCAGATCCAGGACAGAGTGTTCTGAACCTTGTCCTGGAGCAGGAACAGGTGTGAACTGGTGGTTCTGTCACTCATCCCTCAGAGCTGGGTTCTCCTCTAGTTAGTGGATACTGAGGAGGGACCTGTTGCTAGGGCTGGTGGTCTAGGGAAAAGAGCAGTTGTGACCCAAGGATGGGTCTGAGCAGCCCTGTGTGCCTGTGACAGTTCAACTGGAGTGAATAGGGTCTTAGATCCAGCGCCCAGCCTGTTTTGAAGCCTGCAGCAGAATAACAAGTTCAGGGAGCTTAAACCAAAGGGGAGCCTACAGTTCTGTTAATCAGAACCTTTAGAGCCTTCTAGGTAGTTGACAGTGGTTGGGTACAGCAGCTCTCTAGTAGAGCTTCAATGGAGGGTAAGCCCATAATTGTGTCATTCAGACCTAAATCCAGGTCAGGAATTTGCAGAGTTTAGACCTGGAAGGCAGGAAGCAGACTTCTCCATTTATCAGGTTGTTTTGAGCTCATTTGCATCTTAAGGTGTCCTGAGATCCTTGAAGAACATAATACTTATTATTTGAGAAAGAGGCAGGACCCAAGAGAATATAAAACAGGACCAAGCATAGTCCAAATATTCACTTCAAAAATGGTAAGAGTCTAGCTTTAATGAGAAGTCCAAATTTAGGAAGGAAGACAGGAAAAATGAGTAAACAAAGAATCTGGCATTAAAGAGCTATTATGGTGACAGGGATGCCCAAGTCACACACACAGAAAATGGCAGCAGAGAGAACAAAGATTGGCCACAAGATCAACTAACATTACTGGAAGAAATGAAGTGAATGTTTTTAAAAAATTAACAATTATTTTATAAATAAAATGAGAGCACTACAGGAAAGAATTGACCAAAGAAATGAGAGCTATGGAGGAAAGATTTAGAAAAAGAATTAACAGCTTAGCTATAAGGTTATAAAGCCTGACCCAAGCAACAGAAAACATAAAGATTAGAACAGACCAATTAGAAGTAAATGAATCTTTGAGATAACAAGAAATATTAAAACAAAGCCAAAGGACTAAAAAAAAAAAAATTAGGTATCTCACAACAAAAGCAACTGACCTGGAAAACAGATCAAAGAGACACAGTTTTGAATCATTGGACTAGCTGAAACCATGACCAAAAAAATAGTCTAGACGTCAAATTTCAAGAAGACAGTCTGGATCTATTAGAACCAGAGGGCAAAGTGAAAATAGAAAGACTTCATTTTTTATTGTTTTGTGGTAGATGTTTACAACATGCTTGTTGTTTCTTATGGGACAGTATTATTCTAACACATTCATGGTCTACAGTTTGTTTACCAATTCCCCAATCAGTGGGCATCTACTTTGCTTATAATTCTTTGCTGCCTCCAAAAAATGCTATTATAAATATTTTGGTATATGTGAAATCTTTTTGTCAGTGACAAGCATGGGGGACATATGCCTAGCAATGGAATCTCTAGGTCAGAGGATGTGGACATCTTAGCTGCTTTGTTAGCGTAACTTGAAATTGCTTTCCAAAATGGTTATATTCAGTCACAACTACAAATTAATGTGATGTGACACTTTTCACAACCCCTTCGTGATTTACTAACTGGTCTCATTTTTACCAGTTTGCTAGGTATGATATAAAACCTCAGGGTTGTTTTGATTTGTATTTTTCTTATTAATGATTTGTAGCATATAGGGTAAAATATTTGATTAAAACAAGATTTTTCCCTCCAGTTTACTGCTTCCTTTATCTTATTTTAGATGCATTAATTTTGTTTATGTAAAGCTTTTCAATTTAATCAAAATTATCTTATACATATTCCTTAATTGGCTATATCCCTTGTTTTGGCTCTACTCATAGCTGTAAAAGGTCTATGATCTGCTTCTCTTGTAATTTTTTTATGGTATAATGTTCAGGTTACATAGCCATTTTGAATCTACTGTAGAATGTGGAATGTGTTGATCCAACCCCAAAACATAAATAACTTAGAACCAGGAAAACTGGAAAGCAGTTGACTTGTTTTTAAGGGGGGAAAGTAGCAGGCATAATGTAATATACCAGCTCTAAGTATCACCTCTGATGCAGATGACTTCCAAATCTTAGATTTTTTTGTCCTAACCTTTCTTCTCAGCTCCAGACTCATATCTCCAACTGCCTATCCTATGATATGCTATTATCTCCCCTTAGATGTCCCATTGGCACTTCAGATTTGCCATTTTCAAGACGATACTTCTTGTCTTTCTTGCTAAACTTCTTTTTGTTCCTTTCTGTGGTACTGTCATCTACCCTGTTATCAATGACACCTTCCTCTCTTTCATCTCTCATGGTCAGTTTCTAAGTCATTTCAGTTCTATAACATTTCTTGAATTAATCCCATGTTTTTTTATTTGTGCTGTCACTACACTGGTACATAGATTCTTATCACCTGCCAGAACTGTTGTTAAGAATCCTCTTGACAGGCATCCCCACCTTCTAATTTTTTCCCACCTGATCCATTCCTCATACCCATACTCTGAATGGTCTGTCTTAAGCATACCTCTGATCATGTCATTCCTTTGCTCAGAAATCATTAGTAGCTCCCTCTTGTCTACTAAAAAAGCTCTCCTGGAATACAAGGACCTCCACAATGTGCTGCCACACTACATTTCTTATAATATTCCTTTCTGCCTTTGGTTGTTTTGTTGTTGTTTTGTTTTGGGGATTGGGTCTCCCTATCTCTCCCAGGCTGGAGGTGCAGTAGCCACTCACAGTCCCAATCCCAATCCCAATACTGATCAGCATGGAAACTTTTAAGTAGCTCCATTTTCCTGACCTGGACCATTTTGCCCCTCCTTAGGTAGCCTACTGACTCTCCCCTGCCAGGAGCTCACCATACTGTTGCTAGACTTAAACTTTAACGCGGCTGTAGCTCAGAACTCTACAGTTCAAGCAGTCCTTCAGCCTCAGACTCCTTAGGAGCAGAATTACAGTTGTGTGCCTCCAAACCTGGCCACACTGTTAATTATGCTTAATATGTCTTCCTTCCCCTTTTCCTATTGAAATGTCATCTTCCTGCTGAAGTCCTTCAGAGCTCCACACAGTGACACCTTATAAAATCATACATTAGAACTGGAAGGAACTTTAGCCCACTCTCCTCATTTTCCAGATATGAAAATTGAAGTCCATCAAGATGAAATGACTTGGCTATGATCATACAGTAACATAGCCAGAATTTTAATCCATGCCTTCTAACTCCAAATTCAGTGCTCTTTCTCCTACATCACTCTCCCCTGTCAGTAACAACCTCCTCCTTCAGACTTCTCACAGTATTTTGCCATTCTCTAAAGTACTTAAGTATTATGTATATTTGTGTTTTATTCCATCACCTAGGAATGTAAGTTCCATGAAAGCAGGGACCATGTTTAAACTTTATGCCCCCCTAGTACTGTGAATAGACTTCATATAGGCATATAATTTAGGGGATGAATGAAAAAATGAAAGAATGAACTTGATGTTGTGAACAGATTGCTAATTTGCTAATAGATAGCTAAATAGATAGCTAGTAGATAGCTAAATTGCTAATTAATATTGCTAATCCATGCGAGAAAATAATGCCTCACAGATTGGTCCGTTCTGGCTTATTGATTTAGCGTATAATTTACTAATAATTCTAATGTGATTTTGACAGTAGGTCCATGTGGTCTTTATGTTTTCATTAGCTGACATTGAATAAAATGAACTGTGTTCATGTAAAATGGAAAATAATTTTCTGAGTATTTTGAGAAATTCTTAAATCATAGAAAAGTGTGGTTTATAAAACATCATCAATTGAAATGACTTGCAAAAGGGTAAGGAGTTGATTAATTTGTATCCTGAAGTAGAAAATCATTTTTGTATTGATTATATATCTTATTAACTCTTTAACTTGCAGCTGTTTATTTCAAATTGCTAATTACCTTTTTTCAGGAGAAGGTTCCAAGTAGTTCTTCAAACTATCCTCCAGCTACACAAATTCCAGATGGCTCTAAAACACGTAGAGCAAAGCTTGCTTTTGATGACAGGTAAAACAAATGGAAATGTATCTGTGTACACAAAGCTTCCCGCTGTTAAACTAGTGATGGATTTTAAATGTGAAAGTCTTGTCATGATTAGAAGGCATTGACACTATATGTGTAAAAATGTTAAAAAACTTTTTAAGGAGATGCATACTTATTCCCTCTTGTGACAACATATTATGAGTACAAAGCCCACTTCAAGGAGTTAAAGTGCACTCCAAGTTATATGTCCATTCTTACTAACAGAATACTAGCTAGAACAAATGGCTTTTTCTGAGATTAGCCATGAAGATAGTTCCATTCTGATTTTTATAACAGCTGTATTCAAAAAGTTATCTCTTGATTTGTACTAAATCTCAGGAGTAAATTAGGTTACTAAGTACTTTGTACTAGAAAGTTTGCTGGGAAGTATTTTCCTGGGTGTCTCATTTTGCTTTCTGAAATTTTCAGTATATTTGTTTGGTTAAATCCGATCCAACAAGCAATTTTTCAGTGGCTATATGGTGATCATGGTACTGTGCTAGGTGCTGAGATATAAAAACAAAACAAAAAATGGTGACTTGCCTCACAAAGCTTACATTTTACTGGGAGAAATGTAACATACAGAGAAGTGTGTACACGATAATGTGAGGAAGAAGAAAGTACTAAGAACGAGGAACTTTACAAAAATATTCCATAGAATGTGGCTCATGAGATGAACCTTGAAAGAACTAGGAATTCTAAGAAGTAAATGTGAGGATGGAATGCATTCCAAGCATAGAAAATAACTTATACAAAGATATGAAGGTGAGAAATAGAATGCTGAGTTTGCAAGTAGACCCATTTGAAAGATAATATAGATTGCATGGAAGGGGAGTAATATAGTGAGCTTGGAAATAGAGGCTGGTGCTATAATTGCAAAGGGTTTTAAATGCCAAATTTAGGCATTTTTAGTTTATCCTAGGAGCAATAGGAAAGCATAATGAAAATCAACACTATGTCTGATTTAAGTTTTGCTTGCAACGAGTATGCTTGCTAAATAAAGTCACTTTCAATTATATACTATATTTCCTGTAACTGTGAACATTGAATAAATTGAATATTGATCCACTACAGAGATGAACTAGAATGTGATCTTATGAAAAATGTTTCCATTTCTGTTACAGGAGTCATTCAGCAGACCATTATTTACAAGAAGCTAAAAAGCTAAAGCACAATGCGGATGCATTGGTATGTTGCCCTTCATGTGTAGCTTTTTGGAATTAACTGGCAATTTTTACTTTGATTTTAGCCGCCTTTGCTGTACTCCACAACTTTCATTTTCTCTCATGACTACTTTCTCTTTAGTCTGATAGGTTTGAGAAAGCTGTCTATTATCTTGATGCTGTGGTATCCTTCATTGAATGTGGGAATGCTTTGGAGAAAAATGCTCAGGAATCCAAATCTCCATTCCTTATGTATTCAGAGACTGTGGAGCTAATTAAGTAAGTACATGGAGATGTCTACATCAGCTTGGTCAGTAATGCTGATGTGAAGAATACAGCTGACAACAAAATTTAATCATGGATTGGCTGCAGGGCAGCTAATTAAATGACTTCTGAATTAAGTGATTTCCTAGGCCTTTTTACTTTGAATGAGTTTGATTCTGTTGTGTTGGAGGGTGGGAGGAAAGGAGTAACTAGATAAAATAAAATACTTGGTTTTGATTATATTTTGAGGTCATTGATCTGTGTACTTAATGTTACAGGTACACTATGAAGCTGAAGAATTACTTGGCCCCAGATGCTACAGCTGCAGATAAAAGACTGGCAGTTCTTTGGTGTGTAGATTGTAAAATGCCACATTTGCACCAGGTTGTGATAGACACAGAAATGCTTTCTAACTTGAATATGCACCTACTTCTAGTGTTTTTTTGTTTTGTTCTGTTTGGCATTACATGAATTTGGGATCTGTGTTATAAGACACAAGATGTTAAGAAAAATATAAAATAAATAGATTTCTATATTGCTTTCAAATTACAAGGCACTATGGAGGAAGGTTGTCTTCTCCCTACCAGGTAGACCCCTTCATCTTGCTTTGAGAAAAGCCTTGGTAGGATACAAGAGGGTGTGCCATAATCTAGGTTTTTAACCTCATCTCTCATACTGTCTTTTCTTGGGGATCTAGTATAGTGCACATTGATTCATTCTCTTCCTGGTTGCATCTTACCCCATTTATAAGAAGAGAATAAAAATTGAAATATATCTGATGTCTAAGGCAGTATAGTGGACCTACTTATTATACTTCTCTGGGGTATTTGGGGTAGAAAGATTCACTTTCAGAATTAGGGGCTTAACTGATTACTCCCAGACTGATGATCTTGATGATATTGATGATAACACACTGTTCACTGTAGTTTTTATTTAGCTTTCTGGAATACTTAAAGAGTAACCATATTACTCCTTTAGTAATCTATTAGATTGTGAGCTCCTTGAGGGCAGGGACTGTCTTTTTCCTCTTTTTATATACTTTTATATCCCCAGCATTTAGCACAGTGCTTGGCACATGGTAGACTCTTAATAAATATTTATTGATAGTAATTTTGTCTTATTCTGTAGTATTAGTAGTTGAGTCATTTTACCTATGAAAAGCTAATGTCATTGTCAGCTTAGTGATAACAGTTTCTTTCAAATAAACTTGGAGAAAATGAAAGGTAACTTTTTTTTATTCATTGTCCAGTGCTGGCATTGTAAACAACTCTTTCTTCTCTCTCTCCTTTCTCTTTTTTTAGCCTTCGATGCCAGTCCTTACTGTACCTGAGGTTATTTAAGCTGAAGAAGGAGAATGCTTTGAAATACTCAAAAACATTAACTGAACATTTAAAGGTAAATGTAGCTGGTAGAAATATAAATTTTAGTTCTCAAACCTAATTTTGCAAAAGGGCCTCCTTCCATTGTCCTTAGAAATGTCTTTATAATGTTTCTAGGTATTGGGAGAGGAGAGCATTACAAGCATCTGAGTATTGGGGGATTGAGGAGGAGGAGGAGGTAGTTAATGACTATGGTGAATGTTCATTTTGAAGATTGTTGGGACTTAGGGCTTCCAACAAGACAGTTTTTGGCTTACTGCTTTTTGAAATCCCATTTTGGCTATCTTTGGCATTTTATTTAGCCATGTATAAATAATATTTCAGTATATAAGTCTATTTTCATTGAACTTTAGAAAGTCTCTTAACAGCTCTTCCTTACATATCTCTTTTTTGTTCCTACTTCTTTTATTGGCATTTAGGACCATCCACAATCCACCCCCACCCTTCCTTTTTTGAGCTTTCTCCAGCAAGGCTACCCACTATCCATGAACAAGCTCTGTACATTCCCACCTCTGTACCTTTATTTATATCATTCCCTTTGCCTCAGATACCCTTCTCTGCCTTTCTGAATCCTTCCAGGCACAGCTCTTCCATAAACCCATTTCTCAGATCCCACTCCATACCTCCCCCCAGCTCACAGTAACGTCTCCCTCTTTTGTCCTCATATATTTCTTTATTGTCTCTATCACCTGTGCTATGTACATATATGTCTTCTCTCCCTAAAAAGATTATAAGCTCTTTTTGAGGGCAAAAACCATGCTTTATGCTTGCTTTGGAGAGTACAAAGCTCATACATAGTAGACATTCAATATTTGTTGATTTATTGACCAGTAAATTGTGTTTTTGTTTTTTTGTTGTTTTTTTTTGTTTTTTGGTTTTGTGTGTGTGTGTGTGTGTGTGTGTGTGTGTGTGTGTGTGTGTGTGT